CAGTGAGGCTGCATGGCTCCTTGAACTGTTAATTCTCTCTCTTCTGATCTGGCCAGGTATCTTTCAAGGCCCTCTATTTTTGTTCAGTTGAACCCAGTCCCAAGGGTTGAATAAAATACATCACACTCTTTTTGAAGTTTTCCTCTTAATCTTGTGGCAAAAAACTTGGTTTCAAAATTTTTCTATATTCCCACTAGCGTAGATTGGCATTTTCTCTGTACTAGCATGGAAAAAATGCTAAAATATAAACAGTTGCTAAAATTTAGCGATAAAAATTGGTAAAACATAAATGAGGTAGATTTGTTCTTTTTTGAACACAAATAGTTTAAAACAATTTGATTTTTATGCAGTATGAGTGTTTATAGCATACTCCATCCTAGTCCCACTTAAAGGGAAAAAAATTGGTATTGTTCATGCAAAAAACCTTCACAATGTCTTTTAGACAGTTGCTTGGTTATGAATAATAACAGTGAGGCAGCATATTGCTGAGGTGGCAAATGTGTACAGAGGAGTGAATCAGCAGCCTGGGGTTCTGTATTGTGATTCTTTTCGAACAGCAGAAGTTAGGTGGTGAGGAGCAACAGACAGGCCATTTCACAGAGCCCCAAATGGAAAAAGCACAGAGAAAATGCTCTCACACATACTTTCCTAGCAAGATTAGGATTTATGGAAATCATTTGGATTGGAAAAGAAATGCAGTGGGCTACTCCCCTTACCATTTCCATAAAGACATGATGGCTTAGCTCAAGTCAATTGGATTTTTTGCTCATGAGAAAGAAGAGGTTCGGATCAATTGCTCATGGGAGATGAATAAGTAAACAGTTGGAAGATCTTTGAGAGCAGAGACCATATCCTGTTTGTATGCTCCTAGCACTGACACTATTGCATATAGTAGGGGCTACCCTCCTCAAGAACAGTTGAAAGACGTTCCATAACCCCCAGAAAAATTCCATAGCATGGCATTCGTTGCCACCCACAGCCTGGTCCTCAACCTCTTGGGTCATCCACCACATCCTTCTAATCTTTTACACTACTCTCAGTGCTCCAGACTTGCCATATACTTCGACCTTCATGATTTTGCTCATGCTGTTCCCTCCATTTGCCATCCCCTGACCCCTGTGTTTCCAACTAGCAAATGTTACTCATGCTCAGTGACCAGGTCATTTCATTTCTCCCTGCAGCTTTCTCTGATTTACCACCCCCAATCCCCTGTTCAGATTGAATTCCTGTTGCAGCTATATTGGAGTTCACCCTCCAGCCTGCTTTGTCATTCTGTTTACATGACCAGGGTGTTCTCAGTCCTGCTCTCCGCAATGATGGAAAGTGCCAAGACTTGAAATCGGAGTGTTTGGGGTGTATGCTACCAAATGGCTCTGTGCCTTTGGATAAGTTACTAAACTTGTCTCAGCCTCAACTTAGAAGATATTTTACCCATTTCACAGGATATAGATTAAGGAAGAATTAAGATAATTTTTTTGAAAACAGTAATTTATGAATGATAATTTAGTTAACTTCACGATGGCGACATCTGTGAAGGCAGGCAGGAGTGTCTTATACTTTGTTGTCCTCTCAATAAATGTTTGATGATAAAAAGCTTTTTTGTGTGTTCTGTACCAGCAGTGAACAGCCATACAGAGAGTAGATTTTCAATAATTTTGACTGTTGAATTAAAGTAGGGAGCTGGTAGTGCACAGACGCATAATTCCTATTCTGGGGAAAGTACCTAAAGGAGAGTCTGTTGAATCTCCAGTAAACTCAATATTCAAGGATTTAGGATATCCAGGTAGTTGATATTGGGGGATGGATGCCGGACATTCTTGAACTAGAGGAGGACACTTGGCAAAGTTTTGCCTGAAGGGTAGAAATCAAGCTTATTTGACTAGTAAAGGGTTAACAACTTCCCAAGCCTGATAATTGTTTGCATATTACCAAATTCTGCCCTTCACACTCATTCTAAACACCCACAGATTTGTGTATCCATATCTGCGCCTACGCATTTCTATTATGTTTTTAGAACCACTTCAGCAGGGCTGTGTCGTATTGGTTGCAGCACAATTTTACATAACTCTAGACAAAGAATTCCAAAATGAATAGAACACAAGCAGCAACAATTTAAGCGAGGCTATTTATAATTCTACAGTTCAGTAACGTGTGCATTAAGAGGTCATAGATTATCTGTATTTGCAAAAGCAAAGGATTTTGCAGGGAGAATGAAGTAACATTTTGAGCTCTCTGAGCAAAGGTGCAATGTAAATGCAAAATGGAACATCATTATCACCAGGCAGTGACCTTGAACTAAAATGATTTTAATCCTGACAGGGCATGTAAGAGAGGGAATGAGATAAGATTCAGCCAAGAAAGGGCTCTTTTTTCCCCTTGAAAGTTCTGCATTTTAACCCCGCAGTAAAGTGAAGAGTGTTTATGGAAGATCCCATTGACTACTACTCAACAGTGATCCCCTCTTCTGTTTCTTGCGGTACCAATGTGTCTAGCCCCTGGGGAGGAAGTATGACTGTTCCAAGCTAGTCATGGCAATCCCACTCTTCTTTGCGAGATATTTGGATAAACTCTTTCCTAGCTTCGTTCTGGCCATTGAGATGTAAGAGAGAGTCTACTGGGTTCTTCTGAGAATTATTTCATTTCCTAATAAAAAGAGACAAAGGGAGTCCCTCCCACCCTTCTCCTTGGGTGAGGATTTGATGTTTGGTGAAGCAGGAGCCATTTTGTGTCCAAGAAGGAGAGGCCAAGAAAATCTGAGAGACAACAACCCAGACCCCTATCGCTGAGCTCAAAGACCCCTGGAACCTAACAGTTTCAAAGTGGTCCTATAAATACTGTCTTTGTGGTGCCTCTTCCCCTGTCGTGGAAGGAGGCGCCCTGCTTGAAGTCTGCAGTGAAACAGGTTTAACGGAAGGGAATTGCCTATGACCAGCCAGCAGTTGGTACAGCTGAAATAGGGCAGTTCGTCTCAGGACGTTTCCTGGAACACTTTCTCCTGAGACCAACGTTTTGGGGTAATGGTTACACAAATGACTTCTGTCTTCCAGTTCACACAGTGAAGACACCATTCATTTATTCATTCAGAAAGTCGGTCAGTGAACACTAAGAACCTTCTAAGTCCCAGGCCTCACTATGTGCTGAGTACTAAAGACACAAGTACTAAAGACCTGCCCTCCTGGAGACAGACGTGAAGTAGATGGTCCACCAGAAAGTAATGACAGTTGAGATCAGTGCTGCCAAGGGTGCCCAGAGAGTGAGTAACTGGGAGATAGGGGTGGGGAATGGCAGCAGTGATCAGAGAAAGCTTCCCCAAGGGAGGACCAAGTAAACTAGTCACCATCTCTTCCTAGTCTACTTCAGGGTTATTCAGAATTCCTCCATTGACAAGAGAGCAGTAGGGACGGAGAGGAGGAGATGCTGAGAAATGTAGGCAGCGGAAGTGATGGAACTTGGTGATTAATCAGTGTGGAAGTGAGAGTGAATGGAGACAAGGGTGACTCACAGGTCGCCGGCTTGGGCTACTGGGTAGATGGAGACAATTCATTAGTTGGATTGATTGCAAAAATGGATCACATTCTCTACCCCTCTCTGCATCACAGTCCTTTGAAATGTGACTTTTCAGCTCCTTCCAGCAAGGAGTGAGTGTATTTCCCCACCCCTGAATTTGGACTGCCATTGTGACTCGCTTTGGCCTGCAGAATGCAGCAGAGGTGATGGGTTCCACCTCGGAGCCTAGGTCTCAAGAGGACTTTGCCACTTCTACTCACTCTTGGAACCCTGCTCAGCCACCATGAGAACAAGTCTTGACCAGCCTGCTGGGTGACAGACATGTGACTCAGTCGCTGCCCCTCCCCCATCACAGCTGACTGCCAGCCAGCTGCCAGAAGATGCCATTCTAGAGCCCCAGCTCTCCTCCCCCACCCCCACCCCCACCCCGCTCTCTGCAGATGCATGAAAGAGCTCAGCCAAGAGGATCAGCTGAGCTTGCTCTAGATGAGGATAATCACCCCACTGACCTATAGACTTGTGAGCAGCTGTGAGGGATTGTTGTTTTAGGCCATTGTTTTGTGCAGTTTGTCATGCAGCAAACCTGATACAACCAGGATAGACAAAGGGGTGCGTAAGGGTGGGGCTGTCTAGTAGGCGATTGGACTTGTGAGGCTGGAGCACAGGAGGCCAGAAGCGGGATGGTCGTCTAAGCTGCAAGGATAAAATCCCAAGGCTTCTGCCTTGCCACTGTGGGTTCCCCAATCTCATGACCAAGCCATATTTCTCTTGTGTGTCCACTTCCTTCCTCTCTCCCACGCCTACCCTAAACTCCATTTTACACCTAGAGGTAAGTGCTTGAAGAATGAAGCAAATGCATGACTCACGTGCCCAGGACTGGATTAATGATGGAGAATTAGTCCAGAGCCAGAGCTCCCGGCAGATGAAGTGCTTCTGGAGTGCTCACTGATGAGTCAATTCAACCAGCGCAGCAGCGAGGGGCTGAGTTTGGAGGCCGAAATGCTAACAATTACTGCCCCCAAGGGGCCTTCACACACCGGAGCAAGGTCAGGGCACTGCAGTCGCGCATACTGCACTGATACTAGTTCAGGGCTCTTCCCCCTCCCTCCCTTTCTCCCTGTTAACATCACCTCAGCACATTTTAAAAATAAAAAGGGCAACATTCGACAGGAATTTATCCCTCCCATTGTTGCAGAAACATTCGACTGATTGCGCTTTTTCCTCTTTCTTTCGTCCCTCAGCTCAAAAGTCTGATCTCAGCTTCACCCACTGGTCCAGTGACCCAGGCTTGCCCCTGCGGGGTGGAGGGGGCCACCAGGGCTCTGCCCGTTTTTCCGGGGCCGAGGGGCCGGAGCCGCGCAGGTTCCCCGGCAGAGCGCGTCAAGCGGCAAGGCGGTGCGCACGCCGGCGGTGACTTGTCCCCTCGGCTCTCCCGCGCCCGCCCACGCCTCGCCGCTGCGGGAAGGGGCGGGGAAGAGGAGGAGCCGACGGCGGCCGCCGCGCCGAACCCTTTAAAAGCGCGGGCCTTGACTGCGGTGCCGGCCCCGCGGACGCCGAGCACCGGTGGTCCCGCGTCCCTGCCCGCGGCCGCTCTCGGCCCCGGAGGCTCGCGCTCTCTGCGGCGGGACGCGCTGGGCCGGCGCGCGCTCCATGCGGCCGCCCACCATGTCCGGGCACTTTCTGCTCGCGCCGATCCCGGAGTCCTCCTCCGACTACCTCCTGCCCAAGGACATCAGACTGGCCGTGCTGGGCGCCGGCCGCGTGGGCAAGAGCGGTGAGTGCCTAGGGCCCTCGCGGGGAGGCCGCCCCCGGGCGCGGCCGGGACAACTGGGGGCACCTGTTCGAGAATGGGGGCTGGTGCGGCAGGTAGGGTACAACAGTCGTACCCGCCACAAGCCCCGCGGAGGCCACGACGGCCGCGCCCTTGGTTTTGCAGAGCCTTGGGATGCGGGCAGTACCAGCGGTTCTGCGGCCCATCACTCCCGCCATTTCCTCGGGAGCGTCCCGGCTTGACCGTCTTGTCCTAGCCCTTCAGTTGATTTCCCTGTTTCCTTTTCAGCAATGATTGTGCGCTTCCTGACCAAGAGATTCATTGGAGATTATGAACCCAATACAGGTTAGAATGATTTCGTGCCCCCTGCCTTTGTGGCTGCATGCTCGGGTTTTCTTTTTCCAGATGAGAGTCTGAGAATATAAAAGCAAACTCTCCTTCATTCTCCAGGCAAGTTGTACTCACGGCTTGTCTGTGTAGAGGGAGACCAGCTGTCCTTGCAGATCCAGGACACTCCCGGGGGCATCCAGGTAAGGACTGCCAGGAGCAGAGAGCCTACCCGCATCCAGACACCCAGCGGGCTCCGCAGCGCGAGCAGGGTGTCGGACGCACCTGCTGTGCATTCAGATGTGGGAGTGGGCTGTCCCCAGGTGGGGCCAGTCTTTGGGGTGTTGGAAACCCTGATGGGGGGGCACGGAGGGTCGATAGTTGGAGGCAGCTTCCTCCTTCTTGTCCACCACCTCGCAAAGGGGGAGAGACGCTTAATTTCCCTTTGCAGCCCTACTGGGGGGTGTCACCACTTAGACGGGTCTCACCGCTTGTTTCAGAGCTCAGCCATGGAACGGTTAACAAGCTCTTCTGTTTCTAGCTGTTCCCTCAAGTCAGGAATTGGAATCAGATAACCCCTTGGCAAGCAGTCAGGAATGTAACTTGATTAACAGGTCACTAATTGCTCTCCCTTCTGGGGAGGAAAGATCTCGTGGAAGAACAGAAAGAAGGAATTTGTTTCTGTAACATTCTCAAGAAGGACGTGCTAAAAATAGTTTTATGGGTTTGGGAATAGATACTTATCTTGGCTTATTTTCAAAATTTTGTTGATTCTGAGTTAGTTCCCTAAAAATTGTGCCATTCTGATTTGAAAGTTGTCATTGAAGTCATTCTTCAGTCAGCCACGGTTTACCGCAGACTACCGGCCAAGCACAGGGTTTAAAAATAATGCATTGGTAACAGCTAATAAAGTAGCCCAGGCAAGGGAGCCTGCCTGAGGGTTCGCTCTTTCGGTATCAAAAGCCTCCTTCTGCAGAAGCTGGGTAGGATCTGAAAACTATATTTAGTGATTTCTTTTTCAAATGTTACTTTGATGTCGTTTTGGGTCGTCTCCCACAGAGGGCTTCCTTGATCCGGACTCATTTGCTCTTTCTCAGGTCCAAGACAACCTCACCCAGCTGGTCGATTCCCTGTCCAAGTGCGTGCAGTGGGCAGAAGGCTTTCTGCTGGTCTACTCCATCACAGACCACGACAGCTACCAGGCCATCCGCCCCCTTTACCAGCACATCCGGAAGGTCCACCCTGACTCTAAGGCCCCTGTCATCATCGTGGGCAACAAGGGGGACCTGCTGCACGCCCGGCAGGTGCAAACGCACGACGGCATTCAACTAGCCAACGAGCTGGGCAGCCTGTTCCTTGAAATTTCCACCAGTGAAAACTATGAAGATGTCTGTGTTGTGTTTCAGCATCTCTGCAAAGAAGTGAGTAAGCTGCACAGCCTCAGCGGGGAGAGGAGGAGAGCCTCCATAATCCCCCGGCCGCGCTCTCCCAACATGCAGGACCTGAAGAGGCGCTTCAAGCAGGCTCTGTCGTCCAAAGGCAAAGCGCCCTCCGCGCTGGGGTAGCCCCCGCGGACAGACTCGGCTCCTTTTTATTGTGCATTTGTGCAGCTGGACACACTGGAGTCTCCCTTTTTAATCACAAATTCAGAGTTTATTTTTATACAAACTTGGTTTTCAAGTGTATGTGTATTTCAGAAAATTCGAACAGTGATTGCCTAGAAGTGGGATGGAGTTTTGGGGGTTTTTTAAATAAAAGAATTTTTTTTTTTTTTTTTTACTGTAACTGTGGCCACTTTTCCATTAAAGGCAAAATGGCAACATTGCCTCTTGTTTTTAAATGTCTTTTTATAGAAATCATACTTGCACCAGAGCCCAGAACGACTCTGCTCTTGCCCTCAGTCTGAACCCTGATTGGTGACTTGCGAGAGGGGAGGGGTTGGTGTGGAGGGAATCTGTCGTGGGAGAAAGGAAAGAATGTGGAGGACGGGGATTTGAATAACTGCAGAAAGGCTTCAATCAGGGTGCTTTGCTGCAGGCGTGAATTCGGCACCGTTTGATTTTCAAGGGAAGTGATTCATTGCATGCTGATGCTAAAACATTACAAACACGAATAACATTATTTATTGGTGCAAATGGAAGTTTATCCTCTCCACCCTTATTAGAAAAGCAGAAAACCTTTTCCCAGAATTCCTTATGCCTGTAAGTGCACTCCACCCTGCAGGGGTTGCCTAAAAATTCTCCTTCCCTCTCGTCTCGCTGACCCTCCCATCCAGTAGGGCCCCTGATCTGTCAATCCTCCTGTTTTTCTTTAAAGCGTCACTCTGCCTTAATTCAGGACTTCACAGCGCTTGCCAAGACTGACAGGCAAGAGTCTAGGCAAGACTCTGGCTTCTTGGCTTCTGGAATGACACCCCTCTGATTCTTTCTTCACACCAGAACGACCTTACTAAACCAACCCTAGTCATTTTATTTCCATGATTGAAAAAACTCAGCTGGTTTCCTCTTATTTACTGGATAAAATATAAATGAGGCATGGCATCAAGATTATTCACTATCTCTCCAGCCTCATCATCCCCTTCTGCCAAAACACACATTGATGTGTGCCCGTGTGCACGAACACACGCACAGCTGACAGTCCATTCTAACAGAATGCTCTGCCTTTCTCAGTACACACGGGGCTGTCTCGTGCCTTCCTGCCTTGGCACGAACTATTCCCTCTGCCTTAAATTTTCCTCTTCTCCCCCAAAGGATTGTTAACTCATCTTCCAAGACCCAAGTCACATGCTACATTCAGCTCCTGGGGTACCTTCTCTGAGTCTTCCCCTAGTTCACTAGTAGCATTTGTGTTATAACCCAAGCATGTCATGTAGCTATTTGTCACCCCCATTGGAAGGAGTGGCTTGAGAGCAGTAACTACATTTTATGACCTTGTATTCCGAGCTTCTAGCCAGTGCTTGCACACAGAGTGGTAGGTTTTCAGTAAATATTTGATGAAGAAATGAGTGTATTATATTTTGGTGCCAAAGGACAATAATAAAAGATTACAATGAAACAACTTGTCACTCATGCAGAACAAAGACAGGAGATGTTCCGAGTAAAGGTTCTTTATCAGCAGTGACAGAGAGGAAGTGACACCTATGCAGCTTCTGGCCATTGCAGACCATTCATTACTCGTCCTTCTAAAGACACCTCTGTCCAGACCTGTGATGGTGATACCACTCTTCCCTTATAGTTGAGGGGCATCTACTTATGCAAAATGGCATGAAGGACTAAGAATTAGAGAATTCATGTCTAATGGAGTGCCCAAATAAGGAAAAATACTATTTTGAATTCCATTATCTTTTAAAAGGTGCCTAATTCTCCTTGCTTGTTTGCATACTCTCAGAACAAAAGGGGTTCCTTCTATGGTCATCCATCCTGCTTCTTACCGTGCTCTTACCATTGTGGGTGTGGACACGAGAATAATCAATCCTGCCAGTCATTGCCATGGCCGCAGCCTGCCCCGATTGCCTACAAGGAGCTGACCTCAAACACCCATGGGAAAAAGTTAAATTATAATGCCACAGCTAAAGAACTATACAAGAGATGTCCCAAGGAGCCTGTGATCACGTTCCACTGAGGACAGGAATACCCTTGAGCTCTCCCCGGGAGAGCACACTGTGGACCTGAGGGGTCAGAAGATGAGTCCCAGGGCAGTTCTGAAGGGAATAGCTGCCCCCAGGGGCTCAGGGAGGCTGGAGGGCCAGCAGAAAGTGCTCCACACAGTACTTTTCCTGTCTTCAGGATCACGAGTAACTGACCTCTCGGGCCACATAGTTTCCTTTATTTTCTGGTCCCAGAGTAGGCCCAGCACCGCACCCGGCCCTCTGGTCTCCAAGGGACCTCAGTGCTTGTTGTCTCTCTTTCCCGGGCCTCCTACAGATGGCAGTGGGGTCTCTTGGGGGTCAGTACTTGGGGAAGATCTGGAAGTCTCCCGGGATGGTAGCCCTGGAGATGGAAGAGGGGAGCATGGAGTTATCAGGAGGGGTCAGGGTAGGAAGCCGCTGGGTTTGTGTGTAGGGAAGAGGATCTGAGGACTCGGGCTTGACTGGGCGCCAGGGAGGCCCTTAGAGAGGAAGCCGAGCTCTGAGCCAACCTCGCTCTCCCTCAGGAATGTGGAGGGCAGAGCCCTTTGTCATTATATTGCTGGTGGGGGCAGAACTCCTAAACCATTGGGCAGCACATTGAAAACTCGGGTGGGTGTGGAGAGGACAGTGTCTACACATTTTTATCTGATGGTCTTGCATTACCTCCGAGGGGTCTATCACTGTGAGGATTCCTTCCTCCCTCAGGACGGAGGGGGAGCTACAGCCTGCCTGGTCCTCCTCACTCAGTCTTTGAAATCCCCAGGTCTCCGATGCCACAGCTCATCCTCCTTGTGGTGAAGCTCAGTCCTAATTCTGCTCTAAAACTGCAGAACGATTTCACTAATGTATCTGTCAGTGTGGTCCCGAGAAATGGATGAAATCCAAATGGCTAAATCGTACATCCTGCAAACATTCTGTACTTCACATGTGAGTCATGAAAAGCAAACTTGAATGATGGAAAAATAAATCAATTATAACAGAAGAAAATAAATTTGTTTTGCTTGTGTTGAGGTGAAGAGCACAACGGAAGTTCTGAAGTTTATTAATATCTGTTTGGAGAAATGGATTAAAATAAATAGCTGTGGAAGGCGGCAGTGAACAAAAGAGCAAGTAGGAAAGATGAGATGACGTTTTGATGGTGAACTTGAGGCTCAGATAGCTATTTTTCCCTTGTATATGTTGTATTTTCAACTTCTCATTATGCACAATTACCAATTCAAACTTACGATGCAAAGATATTTTGTGTGATTATTTATTCTTACCATTTGATCTGTCTCCAAAAGGTGGAACATTTGAGACTGTTAAAATTACTTTCGAGCTACTTTGACACTCAATAAGAAAGATGTGATACAGGGGAAAAAAAACCCCATTATTTTCCAAACACCATTAAGTTCATTAGGGCTCTAGGAAAAATTAACTGATGTAAGTGATGGCCCCTTTGCAATAACAGAGCAGTTTTCAGCATACAGAGTAGAAATTTGCATATCAGAGATAAAATGTCATCAGCCCTCATGTCTGCATGCCCTCGTGTCCTTCTGCCCCAGTAGAAAACCAGCTGCATTAGAGAAGGACGGGTCCTCATTCATCATCAGCGTCACGGCCCGTCAGGGTGTCCAGGACAGAGCAGGATCCTCAAAAATATTTGCCAAGCTGAACCATTAGAGAAACTGAGGAGCGTCTGGTATTACGTGTGTGTACCCGCTGGGTGCACTGTGTGTATCTGTATCCTGGGTTCCCTCCGCCACACCGTCAGAGATGCCTTTCTCTTTAATTGGAAATGAACATTCTCCAGAGCAGGCTACCTGAACAAAATCGGTATTGCTGCTTTCGATTTTCCTCCTCTCTTTATAAAGACCACCACAGTGATTTGCGTGACTTCTAATTGGACTTACTGAGAACCTGCTTTATGCAAAGCCCTGTGCTAAATGTTATGAACGATACCGCGTTCCTCTTCCAGGGACTCAGTCCAGTGGGAGTTCTGGGGCCAGCCTTGAGGGTGGGACTCTGCGGGGTGAAAGGTGAAATAAGACTGTGGCCCAAATCTGAGGGTGTTGGCAAAATCAGTGGAGAGTCAGGCCTCAGAGCAGAGCGGGGAGCAGAGGCAACCCCCCCCTCCAGAGTGTGAACACACCCTTACTAAGACATGATGCCTCTCACACGCTGTAAAGCATGACTTTTCTCCGAGCATTATGGTGGTCAGCTGAGGATCCATGAGTCAAAATTGTCAACTATTTACTGCATTTCTTACTGACATTCTCTGTTTAAATTAGAAGAATATTGTTCAAGGCAAGGCTTACTTGTATAAACAGATCTTGCCTGGAAATGGGGTCATGGATTTATAAATGTGGAAAAACAGGGATGTTTCAGGATGAGCAGACAGTTCCTAACCGGCACTGTGGAGGCAGCCGGCGCAGCTTCCCTCGGGAGCAGGTTCAAATCCCGCCTCGCTGCTGATGGAGGTGTGCCCGTGGTCAGGGGGTAATTTGAGAAGTGGGGATGGTACCAGCCCCGAGGCAGCATCTCTGCCAGAGCCTGACACATCGAAGGTGCTCAGTGAGTTGTAGTTATCTTACTGTTTATAAAAGGTACGTTGGTACATCATGAAGCTGTTTCAGGGGGAAAAAAGTGCTTCTTGAGCTTGCTCGTGTCCTTTAAAATGTACCGTGGTTGCTTTGAAAGCTGTGCGTTTTCCCATCTCCCGGCTGGGAGGAGAAGGTTGGCAGGGAGCAGTTGCTCCCTCAGTGATAAGACCTGCAGTGACGGACCCCTAACCGTGTGCTGGGCACCTTAGCTTTCTCAGTAGCTATCGTCACTCCCATCTTTCAGGTGAAGTCACTCAGGCTCAGAGAGGTCAGCAGCGGCCTGAAGTCACATAAGCCAGCAAACTAGGAAGTCTGGCTCCAGGGAGGGAAAAGAGTCCCCTCGGTTCCGGGCTGTTTCCCCGGCCAGGCCTGGTGCGCGCAGCCCTCTTTCGGGGGCTCTCGGGCATCCCGTTGCCATGTCTTTGAGTCTTGGGGGACGAATCTGTGATGTGAGGAGTTCCCTGAGTGGTACTGAGGCCGGATGTCTCCTGTTTGGAGCTGGCGAGCAAGATGGCAGTCCGGGCTCACCCCAGGCTTCCCGTTTGCCCGGGGGCAAGGTGGACTGCAGGGGAGAAGGCGGGAGCGCGCCCAGGGAGGGCTGGGAGCCCCCGCGTG